GCGTACCACCAACCACCAGAGATTGCTCACGTTCGATCTCCTCTCGCACGATGGATCGACAAAAATCAGGATATATCGAAGAAGAGAGACTCCACCTCCTCCTCCCCCTCCTCCTTCTCCTACTCCTTCTCTTCATCTTCATCTTTCCTTCTCCTCTTTAAAGAGAAGAGAGCTTCCTCGAGCGTAGTCGGTTAGCAAGGAAAGATCTTCGCTATCCGTAGCTCGATCTGAATCGATCGATCGACTGTTGCCTCGTTGAACGTCGATCCACCGAAGCAATCAACGAACTCTCTCCTCTCTCTCTCTCTCTCTCTTTCTCTTTCTCTCTCTCTCTCTCTCTCTCTCTCTCTCTCTCTCTCTCTCTCTCTCTCTCTTGATTTGTGGCGGAAGCTTTATAACTATTCCCGATAATTGGATCGGACGTTATAATCGTTTCGAGCTAAGACCCTCTCCCCTCGCCCCTCCCCCGTCCACCCCGAATAAATTTTCGTACAATCGTAGAACAGGGAGATACGATAATAGCGATTTATATCGTGACTGTGGGAGAGAAAGATAATGCTCGCACGTTGAGAGATAAAAGCCAGCTAGGTATGTATGTAATTGTCTTTCGAAGGAGAACGACACCATAATCTTATCTCCCAGATATCGGCTACCATTCTACGCTTCGAAGTCGCCTCAAACTATCCTTCGATAATTTCTTTGTTCTCTTTGTCTTTCTACATTGTAAGATATACATAAAAAAAAAAAGAGAGAGAGAGAGAGAGAGAGAGAGAGAGAGAGAGAGAGAGAGAGAAAGAGATTGAAAAAAAAGTAAGAGAATAAGAAAGAGAGAAAAAAAGGAAAAAAGAAGAAAGAAAGAAAGAGATACGAGAGGAAGAGAGGTAGGGAGTTGAGAGGAAAAAAGAGAAGAGGGGAAGGAAGAGAAAAAGAGGGGGAGAGAGGGGGGGGGGAGAGAGAGAGAGAAAGAGACACGGTGCAATCGCAGGGAATGCAATCGAGAGCAGCTTCGAAAGGGCTACGATCTGCATAGCAAATTGGCGATCGATATACGTTGCTCACCGAGCGCGAGCCTCGAATTAAAGCGTATAACTTTCGTGTCCGGCGCGATGTATCATTATGCGCGAAAGGGCGTCTCGGGGAAGTTATGTGGTCTCGCGCGCGCGCAGCTGCTTGCTCGCATTTCGTCGCTACGGTTACGACGGCCGAACGGTGGCAGCGTCGATGCGACGGCACGAAGCTCGATTAATCCTCTCTGTACCGTTCGAGATACACGGATCGACGGTTTTACGATGTAACCACGGCACATCCACGGCGACCTTTCTCCTATGTTCGATTTGAAAAGCCGAGCTTTTAATGGATCGATAACCGATTTTTACACGGATAATTTCATTTCTATGTAATCCTTTAACGATGTCAACGAATATCAATGGTAAAAAGTATTTTAAAAGTATACACTTCGTTATATACTTTTACTATTATTTAGGATTAAAAATTGTCATATTAAAAGTATATTACGTATTTCTCTCTCTCTCTCTCTCTCTCTCTCTCTCTCTTTCTCTCTCTCACCCTCCCTCCTTCTCTGTAACATATTCGCCTGATAATATACCTAGATATTAAAAATATACCTAGAAATTAAAAATTCTTATAAGATTATCTTTTAATCGTTTAACGAAGATAAAAGGACAGATGCGGTATCGATTTGAAATAATCGTTGAGTTTGTAGGTAAACGAATAAAAAAAAACATTAGAAACGAAATGATCCATTACGATAAGCGTTGAAAATCGATGGACTTTAATATCAGGAGATAATACTGGACCAATTCCTAAAACTCATGTATAAAACAAAGAGAAAGATCGTATATATATATATATATAGAAATATATATATATACCCATTGGAGATCTATAGAAGAAGGCTTGAACTGTCCAAGAGAAAATGTTTTTGCCGCTAGCACCGTGTTGTTTGCAAACGAAACCGGACAGCCGTGACACCTGACACCTCCTTCTCGTGTGCACCATTCGTCTTACGTCTCCTACCTCTTTCTTCTTTTTCTTTCTTCTTATCTCTCTCTCTCTCTCTCTCTCTTTCTCTCTCATACACACACCCTCTTTCCGATATTCACGCACGCATGCACGCACAAAACGAAGGCCGCTGACTTTGCTGGCTCTTATCGCGCGTGGTCATGTCAACGAAGAAGTCGATTAAAACAATGGAGGCGGCATCATTCGCACGATTACTATACTCCCCTACGCTTTAATTATAGTACGTAATTTAATACAATATATGAGAGAATTTAAATATAGACGTCAACAAACCTACCTGGACGAATTAATGTTATTTTTATTCAACGAAAATAATGTTTATCTCATTTATTTATTACCATATAATAAATCATTCTAAAAACTCTGAATACATGCATATATATATATATATATATATATATATATATATATGTTCTTCATCGCTGTCTAGTACGTGAAGATATAAAAAAAAAACAAATAAAAGGAAGAAGAGATAAATAGAAAAGGAGAGAAAAGAATTAGCACGAGCGCACGTCACGGTGAGCATGAATAAGGGCATGGGCATCGGCATGGACATGGGCAAGGGAGCGCGCGTGCGTACTCACCAAAGTCATGAGCCGTGAAGGGACACGCGTAAAGGAGAGATTGGTCGCAGTAGATCGTTCTACGTGGCTGATTTTCGAGAAGAAACGAGCGCCAGCCACGAGGCACGTCCGTTTTCGATTTGTGAAAACCATCCTCCTACTACGTGATCTCACCACCGGAAAGAAAGCAAGGGGAGAGGGATAGGGGAAGGGTGGAGGTGGGGGGGGGGGGGGGGGGGGGGGGGGGGGGGAACGAAAGAAATCAACAAATTTCTCAATACAATTGAATTGTCCCGAGAAATATGATAGATCTTTGGTTTACTTTTGAATATCCGGAAAAATAAAGAGACAGAGAGAGAGGGAGAAAAAAAGAAAAGGAAAAAAAGATAAGAGGAAAGAAAAGAAAATAAACAATTGAATTACTATAGTCTAGACGCAACTTCCGCAAAACAATCGACGATTATCGCAATGGAATTGTTTAATACATACAACATACATGCATATGTGCATAATAAATGTCAAAGAAGTAATAATGACGAAAAGTACCAAACTCAAAAGATTCCATTTATTTTTTTGTTTGTTTGTTCTCTTTTCCTCTCTTTCTTTATCCTTTTCCTTTTTCTTTGTCCCTTTAGCTATAAACATCTCGTCGATCCGTAATTTTTGATATATTGCAAAGCGCACGCGGCCCGTTAGAAATCCGATAAAACGAGACGAGTTTATCTCACGAACGAAAAGGTCGAGCGTGAAAAAGAAAAAGAAAGAAAGAGAGAGAGAGAGAGAGAAAGAGGGAGAAAAAAGGGAGAGAAAGAGCGTGAAAAGGGATTCGATCGGTGATGTGATCACCCATCGACAACGATAACAATGACGACGATGACGATGACGACAACGACAATGATACTAAGCGGCAACGGGAATATAGGCGACCAACACACAGAAATATATAATACACACGCACATGTACAAAGACATGTATATACGTTAGCTTCCCACTTTGTTCATGTTCGCTCCACTTCCGACGCTGAGCGTCGCGACGCTCGGTTGAACGGTTCGCGCATATGCCATTATTAAAAGCCGCCCTCGCACGTGATCATCTACGACATAAGTATATACATACACACATACACACACACACACACACATATATATAAACACATGTGTGTATGTATATGTATATATGGTGTATATATATATATACACGCGACTCTTTATCCAACATCGATTATAAACGCACTCTTCTGTCAACGAGGGTTCCCGATGGGAGAAAGCCTTTGATATTAGCCGATACCTCGGCGAGACACATTTTTCTCTTCACTTCGTGAGAGAAGAACACTTCCTTTTTCTTTCTTTTCTCCTGCTACGTCTCTCTCTTTCCCTTTCTTTAGCTCTCTCCCCCTACCACAATACACCCTCTCTTTCTCTCGCTGATTCTCTCTCCCCCTACCACCCCCTACACTCTTTTTCTCTCAGAAGAAAGCAACCGACAATTCTCGTAATTTGAAGACGATGTATTCAATCTAACGTTTCTACTCAATTTAAATTTCTACGAATATAAATTCTCCTTACTCTCCTTCCTCAATACAACACACGCTGTTGTCTCGATGAATGTAAAAGAATTCTTGAAAAAAAAAAAAAAAAAAAAAAAAAAGGAAAAAGAAAGAGAAAGGAAAAGAGAAAGAGAGAGAAAAAAAATCGACGACATTTTAGAAGAAAAAAAAAAGGAAAGAAAAAAAAATATTGATAAATACCATTCCAAATTAAAATATTTTTTTATCGTTATTATTATTATTATTATTATTATTATTATTATTGTTATTATTATTATTATTATCATTATTTATTATTTATTATCGCGTTCTATGGACCATAGATTTCGAGTGTCCCTTCTTAGATGACAACATCGAGAAATGACAACATCGCCAAAGCAAGGCTAAAGCTAAATGCGGCGGGATTAATCAATTTAACGACGTAATCTCGACAAGGTCTCAATTCCTATCGATAATATCGTTCTTTGAAGGTGTATCGTAGATTAAGCCGTTCCACTTTCCACTCGATGATAACACGACGAAACACGCAATTTCTTAAGTATAGTCTACGGAAATCTAACAAAAAGATTCGCTGATCTGATTAAATATTGATATCATAAAATATCTGTAAGTTACTTTTTGTGATTTTCTTTTTTTCTTTTTTTTCTTTTTTTGTTTTTTTTGTGTTTTTTTTTTGTCGAAGATAACGATTAATAATTGGTATCGATTGTTATCTCGGATTCCTAATTGTTTTGAGGTTTACAAGCAAATAAAGACCCAAAAAAAAAAAAAAGAGAGAGAAACAGAAGATAAAAAAAGAATTCGACGACCGATCATGAGACGATGACGATGACAATTTGCAGCTTACCGGTCGAATTTTAAAGGATCTTGAGCATTCGTTCCCTTCGATATTCAGTTCCTTCCGATTCTGAAAACGTTTCTCCTTCTTCTTCTTCTTCTTCTTCTTCTTCTATTCTTCCTCCTTTTCTTTTCCGATCCTTTGAGCTGGAAGACGTCGACGTTCCTCAGTACACGTTGATCCAACAATAACAACAATAATAATGTCACGCGATCACAGCAATAGAACAGGCACTGAACGACGCGTTGTGTATCATAGAAGAAAAGCGTAAGTCGTAGTGTAAATTTGTAGTATCCTTCGAGAGTATTATCACAGCTATCGGGCACGATGTATGTATGATGAACGAGAAAGGAGAGAGAGAGAGAGAGAGAGAGCAAATTTCGATCAAATGGCAATCGAGCAACGTCCTCCACTATGATCCTTTCTGCTTGTCGCCGCAAGAATAAAAAGTGGAAACAACAAATAACAATAACAACAAAGAAGAAGACTCGCTCGTTTCACTTCATTTAAATGTATATATACGTGTGTATATATATATATGTGTGTATATATAATTAGTTGCACACGCACGCACACACACGATACACGTTTTCCCTCTCTCTCTTTCTTTCTTTCTTTTCTTGTGTCACGTCTTCTTTCTTCTTTCCTTTTTATTTCTTTCAGACAAATTTTTGTCACTTCTAGGAGCAACGCAAAGAACACTGGTTCGTCACATTAAACAGGGAAAAAACGCTAAACTTTCATTCCCTTTTTTTCTTTTTTTTTTCTTTTTCTTTCGCCACCAACGACTACGCGAGTAGAGCTACCCTCTTCTTGCGTAAAACTTCTGGCGAGTGCAAGTAGAAAAGGACGAGCGAGTATTGTAAAGGGCAGAGAGTAAAAAGACAAGAGTATATATAGATATTAGGGTGGACGGGGGAGAGAGAGGCACGTATATCAAGAGATATCACAGACTCGAGATCCAACTTCTTCGTCTTCCTCCTATCCTCTTCTTCCTTGGGGCTAACTATGGTAGTACGATGGAGCGAGAGTGCCTCGGCGACGTTTGTCTGTTCGCGCGCGCGAGAAACCAGCGACGAACATACGAACGGAGGTGGACGTGGAGGTGAAGGTGGAGGAGGTGGTGGTGATGGTGGTGGTGGTGGTAGTGAAGAACGAGAAAGAGAGAGTGAGGGGAAGGGGGAGGAGATTCTTCAGAGAGGGAGAGTAGGAGGAAGACGAAAGGGAGGAGGAGGAGGAGAAGGAGGAGAAAAAGATTCGATGGTGGGAGGTTGATCGAGCAAAAGTATCAACCCTTCTTTCTTCCTCTTCTTTTTTTTCTTCTTTTTTCTCTCGTTATCGAGTTCGCGTCGCGAGCGAGAGGATAAAGAGGAGAAGGAGGAGGAGGAGAAGGAGGAGGAGAAGGAGGAGGTCGAAGAGAAAGAGATGCAAGAGGAAAAGGAGGAAAATAAGAAGGAAAATTAGTTTAGTAAAAGGTAGTGATGTGTTCGTATCGATAAGAAAAGATTCGTGCGTGCATATACGCGACACGATAGAAGAAGAAGAACAATAACAAATAATAGTAACGTCAACGATAACAACGACCCTTCCAGTAGCGCGGTCTCGCGCCGACTGCGAGTCGAGCTCGGCTCGCGGGTTTCACCTTCGGCCGCGTTCGGTTACCCCCTCTACCTTCTACATCGCTTCCCCCTTCTCCCTTATTCCTTCTTCGGCATCACTCTCCATCCCTCCTCTCTTTCTCTCTTTCTTCTCTCCTACTATCTCTCTTTTCTCTCTCTCTCTCTCTCTCTCTCTCTCTGTTTCTGTTTCTATCTCTCCTCGTTCTCTCTTTTTCTTTCTACATCTCTCGCTCGCTCTCACATGTAAAATCCTTACACGTGCGCAGGCCGCGTCCACAGTGGGATTTTCGTGTGCGTGAACTTTGAGAGACCCGTTGCCTTCATCCATGTGGTTCGTCTTCAATGTGTGGAGTTGATCGTAGCTTCGTTCATCCCCACCATTCCACTAAGAGAGCCCGTGCCGCTTACCCCCACTATTCGGCTTTCTTCGGGCAGTCTCGTCCCCCTTCGCGCGAGCCCCGGCGAGCCCTCTCGAGGTGGGCGCACGACGAGCCCGTCTCGCGTTAGTACGACTACGGACGTGCACCGCGAACCACGCCTATTTCCCCCTACCTTCTTGCACGCGACCGGCCACCTCGCGCCGTTTTTACCGGCGCGCGCGCGCGACCTCACTCGTTCTCGCTCAAGTCTACTTGCTTTCTTCGTCTCTCTTCTCGTTCTTTCTTCTTCTTCTTCTTCTCTTTTATGCACGCCCGAGAGTATACTCTCTTACGTAGGTGTCTCTCTTGAAAGAGTGACCAAACGTGCGAGGGAAGGTCTCTTATACTGCCTTTCCTCCGTAGCACTGCCCACGCGCCAAGGGTGTTGGAGCTTACGTGCGCGCGCAAACTCTGTTAAGCTCTTACCCTTCTTCGCCTGATAGAACTATTTTTCTTTTTTTCTCTCTCTCTTTACTTTTCATATTTATCTCTTCCATTTCTCGATATATTAAATACGCAAACATCGATTCGGTCATATATAAATAGAAATATCTTTTTATTTCTATCCGAGGATATCCATGGATTGGTTTCTTTCCTTTTTTCTTTCTTTTTTTTTTTTTTCTATACGGTAAAGGGTCGATGCGCTTTCTTTTTCCAAGAACTTTTCTCCGCAAGCCTTTCCTTCTCCTGGTGTTGACACGTGGTCGCGCCTACGGCCACGCTTTGGACACGTGTCCGCCGGCTCGAGAGTACTCGCTAAGTGGTCGCTCGACCGTTTGAATTTTTTCGAGACGCTCGTATTTACTTTTTTTTTTTTTTTTTTTTTTTTCTTATTTTTTTACGAAAGCCTCGCCGCGTCATCGGTCTTCTAATGCCAGATGGAGAACCGTAAAGTGCGTGAATACTTAAGACGATTTATTTTAGGCACTCGCGTGCCATGAATATATTAAGTTCCTATATTTCCTCCTTCTTTTACTCCTTTTCCTCAGGAGGAACGGTGATCCTCGAGTTTTGTTTATATACTGGGAGTGCCATCCGCGTATATATCGATGCAATCTACGTTAGAACATACACAAGCAAATACGACAAAATCTTTCGCATTAACGTCGAAAAGTTTCTATCACTATCGTCCCATTCATCATTCTTATAATTATTCAACGATAATCGATTCTCATTTGTAGTTGAAAAATTGGAAAAAGTTCAATGGAGATTATCGTTAAGAGAAAGCTATTTTCAGGGCATGTTTTTTTTTTCTTTCCTTTTTATCCTTTTTCATTTTCTTTTTTCTTTTTTTTCCCCTCTTCTTTTCCCTCCTATCCTCCTCCCCCTCGCCCCTGTGAAAGGAACGACGAACGTGAAAGAACTTCGACCGTAGGCTTTTACGCTCACATGACGTTCGTAGAATCGAGACGTGTAATTTGGTAAGTGCGTACAGAGGTAGATGAGAGCGTATATCGCCGTTATAATTATAACAAATTGATAGGTTCGGTTCGAACTTAGCGGTGGGCCACCTCTTATTGGAATAATTGCGCGATCCGCGTCATTAGCCTTAATGAGCCTGGCAGTCGGGATGACGCCTCCTCCTAGGAACCCGTTGCACTTTCGAAACGAGTCTCTCTCTCTCTCTCTCTCTCTGTCTCTCTCTTTCTCTCTCTCTTTCTCTTTCTTTAGGATACCCACGCATCGTGTCATCTCTAGTTACAAAAAAAGACAATTACGGGACTCCGTGCACTTATACATTTCTCCTTCAAAATTTTTTTCTTCTTTTCTTTTTATTTCTTTATTTTCTCTATATAAATTCATCATTTGTTAATCAACATTCCATTACAGAACATTCTGTTATCATGAAAAATCACATTTATCATCATTCATAATTTATTTCTTCGTTCTAGAAATTATTTTCATTTCTTCTTCTTTTTTCTCTCTTTTTCTTTTTTCTTCGTTTCTCTCTCTCTCTTTCGTTTTTTTTTTTGTTGCAGAATTTTCCACCAGAGATCGCAGGAAGAAAATAAAAAAAGAAAAAAAGGAATGGAAAATAATTTATAATATCAATACAATATCTAGTTGGATGTTATCAAAAACGAAAAAAAAAGAATAAAAAAAAAAAAAAGAAAAAGTAAAAAAAGAAAATGACTCCCTACATCTGATTAAGTTCTTTCTTGGACGGGTTACATATTGATCTATGTGCATAGAGTATTCCACGCACGTGCGCTCGCGCGCATTGTTACGCACGCCCTTACGACGAAGCTTACGACGGTTTGCACCTGGGTCGAGGCCAGTACCCACCTTTTTTTTTTTCCCCCGTAAGAAAGAGATCCTTACCTAAAGGCGCGCACGCACGAGATGATCCAGCTGTTTGATCTTTGCCACGCGCTCCCTTTTTACGTATCTTGGCCGATGCCACCGCGGGCCTGCCCATTTTACCTTGATACAACATCTGCGTTTATATGATTTTCACGCGATCGATCTTCTTCTCTTCTTAGTTCGTAGATTGTAATAACATTAAGAAGAAGAAGAGGAAGAAGAAGAAGAAAAAAAAAAAGAAAAAAGAAACAAGAAAAAGAAGAAGAAAAGCCAAAAGAAAAAAAAATACCTATGTCCAATAATTATTATAATAAAAAGGAAAAAGACTATATATATATTTTTTTTTCTCTCTTTTTATATATATATATATATATATATATATATATATATATAGAGAGAGAGAGAGAGAGAGAGAGAGAGAAAATGAAGAGTGGAAGGTTCTTCTCTCCTTGAAAACGCGAAGAAGAAGAAAAAGAAGAATCCGAGACGTCGCTCGTCGGTACACGGCGTCGAGTGAAAATTACTCTCAAAGGGACGCGCTCGTAAAAGCAATTAAGGCTACCGCTCGTCTCGATTTATCGTCCGTCCATCGGCCATTCTTCGACATAAATTTATAGACGATTCTTCGATCGCCCCGGCTCCTTCTCGCGTAATAATCGTACTCGTGGAAGGATCGTATCTTTCGACGAAAGGATGAGAAAGATATAGAGAGAGAGAGATAGAGAGAAAGAGAAAGAGAGAAAGAGAGATCGAATGAAAGAGAAAGAACGAAAGAAAGAAAGAAAGAAAGAGAGATGGTACGGCGACCCGTACAAATCCCAAAATAAATGTCATCGTGTATCATCGTGGTAACGTAATCCGGGATCGCGAAGACAAATGGCGGCAGAATACGATACGATGCACCGCGGTCGGTCGGTCGGTCGGTCGGTCGGTCTGTCGGTCGGTCCAGCGAAGAGGAGAGAGAGCCTTCTTCTCCGTTGTTCGTATTTACATACCGCGAGACGAAGACGGTTCTCTCGTCGTTGCTCTTTCTCTCTCTCTCTCTCTCTCTCTCTCTCTCTCTCTCGTTCTCTCTCTCTCTCTCTCTCTCTCTCTCAAATAAGTAGAAAGAGAAGGAAGAGAAGAAGGAGGAAGCCGTGAAGAGGAAGGACGAGACGCGCTCGTAGTTAAGGTCGCCGATACCGCGAGAGCCGAACGAAGGACGGCCGATGACTTCTCTCTTATGGAGAACCGACAGCCTCGACGCTGCGTTTTAAAGCCGCCACGTTGACTCACCGCGCTCGGATAAACGCGGAGGTGTATATTAAACAAACTCAAACTTTGCTTCTCCTTTTTTTATCTTGAGAATCGTTTCGTATGCCTCTCTAACGTTTTGCTTCTTTATCTTTCATTCTTCCTTTTCTTTTTCTCTCTTTTCTTTTCTTTTCCTTTCTTTCTATCTTTTTTTTATCTTTTTCTTTTTTTGGTTTTTTTTTTTTTACTCTTCGTTCCTTTCTTTTTTTTTCTTTTCTTTTCCTTTCGAAATGGCACGAGAGACTGTTTTAATCCTACGCGTATTACCTAACGTTTATTTAGACGAAAATGGAGGAATGAATTTTTTTTTCTTTTTTTTCTTTCTCCTTTTTTTTTTTTTTTTTTTTTTTTTAAGGAAAATTTTCTTATTGGTTTATAACGAATGATGAGCGTTAAAGTTATATAGGTAAGTTTCGTTGAGAGGAGCGGGGGTGGGATGGGAGTGGGGGTGGGGGAGCGGAGAGAGAAAAGAAGAAGAAAAAGAGAAAAGAAAGATAAAAGGAAAGAAAAGAAAAGAAAAGAAAAGAAAAGAAAAAAATCAAAGACAACGAAGAGTCGAGAGAGAAGTCAGCTTTCTCTTCGACTTCGTCCCAGTCCTGAAAACAGAGACTCGTCCGAGTCGCACGGTCATGCGTCAAGATTTTAAGCAAACACGAGGTTCGCGCGAGAGCACGTACGTAGTACGTACATACAAGCCGGTCATGGCACGGCCGTACAAGACCGAGTTAAAAAATACTCGCATTTGCTCTGTCTCGAAGACCACTTCGCGGACGTATATACACCCTACTAGAGGAGTCTAGCTCCGAGAATTCTCTTCTCGATATAACCGCTGTCGCGAGTTATCTCTCTCTCTCTCTCTCTCTCTCTCTCTCTCTCTCTCTCTCTTTCTCTATCTCTCTCTTTCTTTCTCGTTCGCCTTGAGAAGGTCTCAGCTTCGAGGTCGAAGGTTCAAAGAGAACGTTCGATGTACATATGTATACGTATATATA